TCTCTCTCTCTCTCTCTCTCTCTCTCTCTCTCTCTCCCTTCTCTCACTTTCTCTTTAAAAAAAAGGATGCCTTATTATTCTGCTTGTTTAGAATGTAAAATTCCATTTAAAATTGTTGCATAGTCAAGAAAGCAGTTGATAGAAAAATTGTGCCAGACAGAAATGCAGTGCTCCCTGCTGATTTATTTTAAGCTACCATCCATAATTCCAAGAGCTCTAAAAAGATAAAATAAGTAATTACTCTTCATAGGACCCCTGGTGTAGTAGCAATAATGTAAATTTATGGCAATATCAGCTCTCAGGTCTTACCAAGCTGTGTGTTCCAGACTCTGAATTGTTGATTATTTTTGTTGATGAGAATGAGTAGAGAAGGTCAGTAAAACAAATAAACGAATGAATAAATAACATAGATGACAGCATTTTAAAAGCTGTAAATTGCTACCTGGGCATGGTGTCACATGCCTGTAATTCCAGCAACCCAGGAGGCTGAGGTAGGAGGAACACAAGTTCGAGGCCTTAAGCAACTTCGTGAGACCCTGTGTCAAAATAAAAAAATAAAAAAGGCTGGGGATGTAGCTCAGTGGTAAAGCACCCCTGGATTCAATCCCCAACACCAAAAAAGAAAAAAAGAAAGTTAAAGCTCTAAATTGCTTTTTAAAATATTGTTTGCTATCCATAATCTGAATAGAATTTGTGGCAAATATAAGCAAAAGAAAAAAGGTCCTTCGTAGAGAATTTAGAGGCCAGTGGCTTTTAAATGGGGGTGTCTTAAACATAATCTGTCTTGTAGCTGAGTCTGCTATTGATGTCATCATTATAAAAGGTTGCTTGCCTTTCCCCATTCATCTTCTTCCTTTGTTTGCCCAAAGCACAGATTGTATAAAATCTTGCCCATTTATTTTCACAGTCTCTTCTCTCTGTCACACATAAATGAATCCTAGCTCAGAAATAATATGCCTGCAGAAACAGCATATTTACTTGTTTTTAACAGAACAGCAATATATCAGTTTGCTTCTATTGAAGATAAATAAAAGTAGGTCAGTTTATCTGTCTTCTTTGCTTTTAATTATTGGATGACAGATGGAACGAAATCCTCAGAAAACACCAAAGTACTTTACTTTGCAGACTCTGAAAATAGTTGGATTTGCTTGCCAACACAATCTGTTGTGAAACATAAAACAATTATATAACAGATCCTCTTAATATTTTTAGAGAGAATGTCTTTCTTAAAATACTTAATTACATAACTCTGGAAAGAGAATGATGTGGCAATGCCAGCCTCAACAATTTAGCGAGGAGACCTTGTCTCAAAATCAAGGTGGCTGGGGATGTGACTCAGTGGTAAAGTGCCATTGGGTTCAATGGCCTGTACCAAACAAAACAAAACTTTAATTCAGCAGAAGAGGAGGAAGAAGGCAAGGCCAATATGGAAACACTGATGTTGTAATTGTTCATATTTTCTTCTTCTCTTCTTCTCCTCTTAGGTTTGCTCAATTCTTATTTACCGAGGAATTCAAGGCCGGGTCACGGGTCCTTGAAAGCATATACAGCTTGTATGAAGGCTTCTCCGGGACCGTGTGCTTTCTGATCGACCTGCTGCAGCCCAATCAGGCTGAATTCCCTCTCTTCAGCGTCTTTGTTTAAAAGGTTCCATCTCCCACTGTGGCCCTGCAGAAGTCCCCTGAGATTTCCTGAGCCTGCCGAGGCAGTTTCCACATAAGCCACATTCAATGGTATCATGACCATGAGCCTTAACATTGCCGCCGGAAGGATGGGAGCAGGAGGGGAAGGTAGCATGGTAGCAGACTGGAGAGAACCTACAAAATAAGACACCACAACTCATCTAAAAACTGTAGCGAATGTATGTTTCAGGGAGTGGATGTAAAACTGGAGATCAGAGAGAAAGGGGAAAAGAAATGATCTGTTTTTCAGTTCATAACACAAGAACCAAAACAGAGAGGGGCACTATGGCAATAAAATGCTAGTACTTTCCCAATTGGAGAGAGAATCTGGCCCTCTATGGGTGTCTTCCACCCCTAAATTCAGAAATACAGACAATCAAAACTTATTTGCCCCAGTGAAAACTGCTGGCAGGGTTGAAATGTCAGGATGAAGGACAAAAAAGAAAACCTTTGATTGTCCTAAGCCTTTAATTATTGAAATTCATGATTTTTACTGAATGGAGATATTTGCATATGAATATTTTTTATCATTGCCCTGGGCACTTTAAAGACATCATATCATAACTTAAACACTGAAGTTCCACATTTCCTTAGGCCTTAGAATATCTCTTTTCCTAGTTCCTTTTTCTTTCCTAAAGCTCAATTAGAATAGTAAAATTCAGGCAGGGCTGGCGGGTGTAACTCAGTGGTGGAATGCATGCCTAGCTTGCACAAGGCCCTGGGTTCCATCTCCAGAACCACAAATAAAGAAGAAAAATTCATAGTCTAGCAAATACTGTAGCAAGTGTTGCTTTCAAGTGTTTTTCTGAATTTCAAGTGTGAGCTGTGTATTGTCTATTGTTGGTAATTTTTAAAATGCCTTTATGTATGTAATCTCTATGAAGCTATTAGTCAAACTGTAAAATTTGCTCTTGGTAAAAATCACTCATCTCAAAGATCAGGGTAACCACTACAAAGCTGTGTCATTCTGCCTTTGATGTAATACTGTGTCCCTTGGGACAGACAGACAGGCTAAGAAAGGCACCAGTTGATTGTGGAAGCAATATTGTTTGACTTTATACTATTAGTTTAAGAGATGAGTGAACTCCCTGGCTGGTCACCTTACCTTCCAAGACACAGGGTCCACTAGAAATTGGTTACAATACCCATTGAACCAAGTTATCATATTAAATTAAACCCTGCTGTAAACACATAGAAGTTGTGAAACTGCTTCAAGTAAGTAGTGGTTTACAGAACACTATAGCAGCATCTGTCACTTTAATATGCAAAACATGCATTTACCCCTATCCTGAAGTTTGATCCTGGACATTTTCATATTTCACAGTAAGGAGGAAATTGTACTGTATAGGACTTAATTATTTAAATAGTCATTAGATATTTGGATATATATGTATATATATGTACGTGTGTGTATATATGCTACATCTACCCCTATGTAAACCTAAGCACTTATCCTATAGTTTGATAGTTCCTAATCTGAGTCATTGGTAGATTTTGAGAGGAGTTAGGGAATACTCTGTTTCCTAAAAACATTTGTATGTATGTTGGTGTGCGTAGGTGCACACACCTAGGTGTGTTTATGAGTGTGTTTGTGTGTGTATTCGCGCACACATTCAGCATGTGCTCCTCTTTGGAGGGAAAAGACTTCTAGTATTCAAGAGATTCACAAAGAATCTTACCAAAGAAAGGTAAGAATTGATGTTGTATATTTTGTGACTCTTTGTACGTTTGCACTAATCAAAACAAAATAGAATAGTCAGTCACGGAGGCACACACCTGCAATCTCAGCTACATGGGAAGCCGAGGCAGGAAGATCACAAATTCAAGGCCAACCTGGGCAACTTAGTGAGACTCTGTCTCAAAATAAAATAATAAAAAAAGGGGGGTGGGATGGGGGGGGACTGAGGATGTAGCTCAATGGTAGAGAACTTGCCTAGCATGTGCAAGGTCCTGGGCCTGATCCCCAGTATCAGCAGGGAAAAAAAACTAAAACAGATGATTTGGAAAAACACACATCTTTTTCACTTATTCCATTTTCACATCCTCAGATTTAAGCATATAAAATTGGCCTCAATTGTTCATCTGTGAAAATTCTCAGTTTGAGGCAATACCACATAAATAGCAGCTTTCAGATCTCTTCCAAAATGGAGTTCCAGAAGTTTTTTCATGAACAGACAAGCACCTCTTGGAGAGCCCTAAGGCAAGATGCCTTTTACAAAGTGGAGTCTCCTTTTGGCATGATGGTGAGGCTTGTTTTTTGCAATCTCATTTTAAAATCATTGTGCGTGGTCCCTATAGGCTGAAGATAATAAACACCCAAGATCAGGACTTTATTAAAGAAATACATGTTCTTTTCATCATCCAGTAACCCCTTGAGTTGTGTTAGGTGATTGCTCCAAAATCTCATAGTTAGAAAGGAGCTGAACAGGCTGGATGGGGTGGTGCATACCTGTAATACCAGCAACTCTGGAGGCTAACGCAAGAGGATTGCAAACTCAAAGCCAGCCTCAGCAATTTAGCAAGGCTCTAAGCAATTTAGTGAGACCTAATGGCTGGGGGTGTTGCTTAGTGGTCAGGCCCCTGAGTTTAATCCCTAGTACCTGGGGATATAGCTCAGTTGGTAGAGTGCTTGCCTCACATGCACAAGGCCCTGGGTTCAATCCCCAGCACCCCCCACACACACACAAAAAAGGAGCTGAATAAAGATTCAAACTCAGGCTTTCACTTTCCAAGTTTATTTATTCAGTATTCTAGAATGATTCTGGAAAAACAGCAGTGAACAAAATCCCTTGTATTTTCTATTTGCTGATCCTTCCACCATTCATCCTTGAGACCTAAAACCTAAAGGACAAAGGAAGCCAGACTCTTGCTCATCCTATCAGTTCCATTTCTAGGAACTTAAGAAAAACTGGGCATCTCTTCTGTTTGCATCCCCTTTTAAGATCTGATTGAGTGACTGTGATGTTGCTGTACTGACCTTTGTGAAAAGATAACCTTTTCTCCATACCAGGACCAAACAAAGGTCACGTTTTTTGTTTGGGTGTTGTCTTTGAAATGACACTTATGTAAATTAGGAACAAAGGTAAAGCTTGTTTAGCACTTAAACATTGTTGAAACTTTTCATTTTCCTAAGGGAAAAGAATTGTAGATATAGGAAGGTATTCAATCTTGTTTTCCCAAGAAGGGGTAAGAAAGACCTTTAAGTTGTAGGAAAGTGATATGCCACTTTTTATTTAATTATCCAGCTTATCCACTTCTAAGGTAGTAAGATTGATTGATTGATTGATTTTTTGTGTGGTGCTGAGAATTGAACCCAGGGCCTTGTGCATTCTTGATGTAGCATGTTGCTTCTTGAAGTCCCTAATATATAATAGAAGTAGTATATCTTTATTGTGGGATGTGGCTTTTTTTTTTTTGTGGTGGTACTGGGGATTGAACCCAGGGCCTTGTGCATGTGAGGCAAGCACTCTACCAACTGAGCTATATCCTCAGCCCCCTAATATAACTTTAATATAATTTACTAGATATGACCCAAAGAATTATGAACCCTGAAGATAATTATGGAAATACTGGAGGATATATTCAACAACAGAAAGACTGCATTATACTTTGATGACAGGACATTTTGTAAACTATTATAGTTCTGTGTTTTGCTTCATTAACACAATTACATGCCTTCTCTTCCATACATCCCCCAAATATTATCTATATTTTACTCAATCTCATTTCACTCATCAGTTTTTTACATTTTTGTTCAACTCTTTTTTTTTTTTTTTTTGCTTCCAGGGATTGAAGGGGGGTGGTGCTTAACCCCTGAGCTACATGCCCAGACCTTTTTATGTTTTATTTAGAGACAGGGTCTTGCTAGGTTGCTCAGGGCCTTGCTAAGTTGATGAGGCTGGCATTGAACTTGGGATCTTCCTGCCTTGGCCACTGGGATTATAGGCATGCGCCACTGCACCCAGTCTTTGTTCAACTCTTGATATTTGAGAACAGAAGTTTGACAGCATATATTTCCCTGTGCTTCTTCATGTAATTGACTGTGTTATTAAGATAATAGTATTCATTTACTCATAACTCAGAAAACAAATAGGATCATTTTCTTGGTCTATGCTTAATCTCAGCTCTCCACTGACAACCTATTTAACTTGATTTAACATGATTTAAGATTTTAATCAAGGTGGTATGTAAATTATTTCAACTTCTGTAGAGAGCATATCAATAATTTTGGTGCAACAAATGGAAGTTTGTGATTTATATCCATGTTGAGAAAATACACAGGGCTGGGTTTGTAGCTCAGTGGTACAGTGCTTGCTTAACACACACAAAGCTCTGGATTCAATCCCTAACATAGGGAGGGAGGAAAGGAGGGAGAGAGAGAGAAAACAATTACAAGGAAAAAAATTAGTTATGCCAAGAGTCCTTATTTGGAAATCTCAAAGCCTTTTCCTGACACTTCCATAGACCACTGTAGTATAATAATCACCACATTCATTTCACAGGGTTTTCATGAGGGTCACTGATGATATAATGGCTATAGGAGAGTTTTGTAATGTGCAGGTCCTTTATATATTTAAAAAGGATGCTATATTTTCATACCTACTATATGCATAGAAAATCATGCTCAGTTGACTCCCAATAGCATTTCAGCCACATGGAATGTCTATATGTGAATGTAGTTCTTGAGATCTGGATCACTGGATAGGTAAAAACCAAGTGTACATTTTTTATATTTTACCAACAGTCTGGACTATGTGCCTCAGAAGTTTCTGATTTACCAGGGCTTACTACATAGGGATAAGCTGGTCTAGCTCAGGAGCTTCCTTTTAATGTAAACATTTATTTTGCTTATTTGAAACAAAGGGTTACAGTGCCAGTTACACAAGAAAGGGAACAGGCAGTCTAGTTCTCCAGAGCAAAAATGAACTGGTAAATAGAGTAATTTTGGATTGAGTTTGATCTGCACTTTAATTTGGGCCTCAGAGCTGGTGACATATAAGAATAGAAACATTCTCAACAGCCTATGAGGCCTTCTTAGGGGGACCTGGGTTATTTATTCAACATTGTCTCAAATTAGTAGCTAAAACTATGAAGACTCAAATTTGCCAAGGCCCTAGGATATTGGGCATGAACTTGGCAAGGAAAGCAATGAGAAGACAGACAAAGGAGTGTGTGGTGGTGGTGGGGAACTTGCAGAAGCTCAGCATCTCAAAGTGGGTTATGGATGTACATTTAATGGCGCAAGGAGCCAGTACAGTCTTACCCATGGATTTTACTCCTTCCTGGGACCTGTAATCCTAAACCTGATTTGATGCCTCTTGTCTTCCTTCTCCTTTAAATAGCTCCTTCTGATGTTTTTTCCTGTGCCTGCCTAATCATGTGACCTCCTTTCTCGTGGGAGGGAAGGTTTTCTCCTTATCTCTTCCTTCCACATCTGTTCTTAGCTAAGAGCTCCAGGCTCAGTAGGGTTGGACTGCCCTCTGGACAGAAGGGCTGACCTCAAGGTCATCAGGAGCTGGGCCTATTCTGTATTCAGATCACAAGTCCAGAACTGCCCACTACAAGTGCGCCTATGCATAAAAAATAGGATGGTGGCTGCATTTATCCTGCTTCCCCTCCATATTTATTCATGGAGGTCATTTTATTTTTACTGTTGTAAAAAAAAAAAGCCAAAGTTGATGCTATATTACATGTTTAGGCCTCATCCATGATGATAAATCTTATACTGGAAGTGCATTCTCTTTCATTGCTTTAATTGAAAGTGCTAATGAATTGCAATCTGATGGATGATGCCTTTAGAATTTAAAAGAGTATTTATTTTCATTTTCTTAAAGTATAGAACTGGGTCTTTTCCTCCTAGACTTCTTTACAAACGGTGAAGTCCCTTCTTTGCAGGAGTCCCTGCATCTTCTTTTGCCTTTGTGCATCTGTTATTTACCCCTCTGAATTGAATTTGAAAAATCATTTAAAGTGAAAGCCAAATCATTGACATTTTTGTTCTGCGCTGGGGTGGGGGGAGGGCTGATGCTTTGTATGAGTTAAAAGAACAGATTACCCTCTCCTTTCTTTTTATATGTAGTTAAGACATATTTGAACATATTTATGGAAGATAGTACAATAATTCAATCATTGTATTCAATGTATAATGATCCAATCAGGGTAATTAGCATATCGATCTGCTCAAATATTTAT